CTTCCAACATGTCAAATGTGGTTTAAAAAGTTCTATTTGGGAAATTTTGAACTAAAGGATACAGAACATATGGGACACCCAAATACTGTTGACAAGGAAAAATTGCAGAAATAAATTGTTAAAGATTGATGAATAACACACATTACAGTATATATAACCAAACACACAAAAATAAAGCAAAAAAGGCACTGNGTATATTGGGACTGGATGAATGAGAGACTTCTGATTACCCAATGTGCCAAGTGTGAAGCCCCACATGCCATTGATGCCAGAGATGAATGTTGACTAAAATTGTGATGTATACAGGAAAGATGTTCCTAAACTTCCAACATGTCAAATGTGGTTTAAAAAGTTCTATTTGGGAAATTTTGAACTAAAGGATACAGAACATATGGGACACCCAAATACTGTTGACAAGGAAAAATTGCAGAAATAAATTGTTAAAGATTGATGAATAACACACATTACAGTATATATAACCAAACACACAAAAATAAAGCAAAAAAGGCACTGAAAACATTCAAACATAACACAAGAGCAAGAAATAACTAGGAGACACAACAGATTGCATTTATGCTTAGAGTGCATTTTTTCCCTGCATGTGCATTTCACACTTTGAAGCATAATTTGAACTCTGAAGCATTCGAAGTATGAGTTACCAATGTAATTTTTTAGTCATTTTTAACAAACTACGTGTTGACGTAAGATTATACATTTCTGGTCATTTGTGGTTAGAAATGTATTTGTGAATTTCTAATAAACTTCAATGTAAATGAATTGTAGAAAAATTCTGAAAATGATGCAATATTCTTACTGTAATTTTCACTCATAACTATTTGATTTTTTAAAAATATAATTTAGCTAATATTTTTAACTTAAGAATGAAAATGAATAATTCTAGAATATACATTTTTGTTGTTTTCTCAAAAATTTTGGTGTTCATTAACTTGTAGTGAGATGTAAATTCAGAAATGGGAATATGCATATATGTGAGATCAGTATACTATCCAATATCACTTTCTTTTATTGTACTTAAGTCATTATTACAGTGCAGGAAAGTTTTTAATTTTCTTGGTAATATCTTAACATAATAATTATATATGTTTGCTTAATTATTGATATTATGATAAGTTATTACCAAGAAATTTAAAACTTTCCTGCAATTATGTATAATGTATTTTAATTAGTTAATTAGTGAGGTAGAGTGTCATTGCTTAAGAATTTTTATAAAATTTCTTTCATCAAATTTGAACTTTTGTAGCTTTTTAGTCGACAAAAATTTTTAACTATCTGTTCTGCTTTCTGCCAGTTTTGGTTTCAGTAACAGCAAAATCATTTGTGAAAGATTATTTGCGTTTTATTTAATTTGTAGTTTGGATGTTTAAAATGTTTTATATATTGTAACATATTGTTAAAAAAATACTCTGTATATACTGAAGCTATATATATATATATCTGAAGCTCTATGATTTATATGCAAGTGTTTAGGAATATCTTATGCCTGAAAGTTAAACTCATAATTACACACATTATTATGACCATCCAAGTGCAGATATTGCACATGCCAAGCAAGTCAGTATGTGCACAGATCGTGATCTTACTCTGCATGTGTATAAGGCAAGATGTTTTGTATTTACGCAAATCAGAAAATCAGATCTGGCAAAAAATGCAATTTATAAGAACTGATAAAAGGCATGATTATTGGCTATTGGGCTAGGCATCTCAGTATTTCCAAGACTTCAGACTTGTAAAATGCTCTGGTGTTACAATGGTGAAGGTATATTGGGACTGGATGAATGAGAGACTTCTGATTACCCAATGTGCCAAGTGTGAAGCCCCACATGCCATTGATGCCAGAGATGAATGTTGACTGCAATGGTTGGTTAAGAGTGATCAATGTGCTACTGTTGATGAATTGACTACCCAAATTAACAGAAAGGTTTCAAAGTTTTCAACATGACAGTGTAGTTAACCCTGTAGCATATTGGACTTTTTAGCAGACATTTGTTGTTGGCATCCACGTTAACACAACTTCATCACAAACAACATAGTCAGTTTTTAAAATAATACTGACATTGAACTCTGGTTGAATGGCAAAGTGTTGCTTCTCTGAGTGAGTTTTTTACTCCATCAAGTAGATTGATGGTAGACTATATTTAGCATGAAATCCTTGAGAGCAGACACCTAGACAATTATAGGCAGAAGGAAGCAGGATGAACGTCTGGAGAATGTCGCATATGGCTGGGGTATGCTGATATCTCTGGATTAGTGATGTGCCGTGTATCCGCATTTGCGGATATCTGAGGGGGAAAAAAGATCCGTATCCGTTACTTTTTAGCGGGTCTTTTATCTTAATGAATTTCATTACTTATATGAAATTTTAAAGATAGGTAGCAATAAAATACTAATAACTTCAATTCAAATCATTTTTTATTTCTTAAAATCACATATTTGGCACATTCATATTGCAAAAATTTTATCATGCAAAATTCATTTACTATTGTAAAATATTTCCATATTATACTTCTAAACTTTTTTGTTGACATTGTTTTTATTTTAATTTAACTCAACATTCTCCAAAGATACAAATGTAATCTATGCTATCTTGTGTCACACTAAACTATAAACAAAAACACGCGCAGTGCAAATCAAAACACGTCGCGTTACTAACACAAAATGTCAACTATCGGTCCAAGGTCACAAGCACAGGTGCTGACTGAGTACGAAAGTTGAGATCCGTATCTGCGGATCTAGACACTAATTATCTGTATCCGTATCCGCGGATATACATTTTTAACGATCCGGCACATAACTACTCTGGATACACCCTGAATGCAAGTGGCTATTTATTGATCATTGCTGATACACCCATGCATGTTGACTATTTCTTGGGGGCTCCAGTTTCTGTTAGCAGGACACTGCTTCATGCATTACTACAAGAATTATCTTGAGTGGTGTGAAGAGTATAAAGAAGAATTATACTTCCTTTTCCTTGGCCACCAAACTCCCCAAATCTGAATTTAATTGAACATTTATGGGATGACCACAATTGACAAATCAGATAGATGGATCCTCCNTGAACTAAAGCAGATCATCTTCTATCTATCTATATAAATAAAAATGTAATGTTTGTTTGTTCCTAACAATTCCTTTGAAATTTTGACACAACGCTGCATTTGAATACGCACGTGTTTTTATATAATATACATGTCGAAATTCCCCCCACTGGGGGGAGATAGACAGGATTAAGACTTACTGTAAAGAACTCTGCTTCTATTTATACTATTTTAGATGTGGTTTTTTTGTGTTTTAATAGGGTACATCAAGAGAATGTACATTAAGAAGGGATTTTTCGAAAATCCCCCCCATGGGGGAATTGTTATACATTTATAATAGATACATTTTGAGCCACAACAACACGTGGCAGAGTTTGCTAGTATGTGGATAAATAAATAAGTAGGTAAAAAATAATAATTAGGTACCTATTTTAATGCTTTATTAAGCCAAAATACAGAAAATATTTATACTATAAATTTTCTAGACTCACGACGATAGATAACTGATATGCATCACACTAGTGTTGCTAAATACAGTATTAGTAGTGACATACAAAAGAATTGACTGTTCGATCCATTCCTTTTCTTTCTCCCTTTTTAGTTACAATATGTATGGGTTTGTCCAAAAATCATATGGCTTTTCTTTGAGCACAGTTTCCTTTACTTGGAGATGGGCCACTATGGCGGGAGTGTCTGTAGAATCCTCCAGCTTTGGATGCTGGTCTCAATGATTGGATGGCTGCTGTCCAAGTCTAGACAGAATTATGTGCACATCTTCCAAGGGAACTCTTGCTGTCTTCCAACTTGGTCGAGAGACCTCGAAAAATTGTATGGGGGGGGTCTTTGTCTCCCTGCTTTTAAGGGGATCGTCCTATGCAGTCCAGAACAGGGTCAGTAGCTCTCATTCACGTCCACCTCAAATGGGATCCCAGTGTGATATAACCTGCTTTTCTGACACCCTCCAGAAAAACTGAACTGCCCAAGTGAAAGACAAAATTGTTTTGACTCGGCCAACTGTTAGGCCTACACATTAATGTATGTAGTGTTGAATTTAATTTATTAAATATGTAGTGTTCTTTGTAGTATTTGTGTTTAGAAGTTAAATTATTTTGGCCCAATTGAATTTGAATATTTTTGAATCATTCCTTTATTATCCGTGCTCTAAATAAGTACTCTATTTTTTGAATAAGCCAGACTAATTGATCAAAGTACATATTTTTCTTTTCTGAACAAGGGGCTGAAGTAGCTAGCTAGATCACACACTTTTTAGTTGAACTAACTCTTCTGGAAGGGTGAAATTGAAGTGCAAATGTTGTTGAATATATGTAGATGTAGAATTTTATTGCCTCCTTTCTCCTCTTATTAAATATTTATTAAAAATTATTTGGGTAAACACCCCAGGCTCCTTTCAGAGTTCAGAGTAGGGTACCTGCTATGAGTGCCTCTGACCTCTCCATAAAATGACTTGGTGTTTAATTTTGCCAGAGTCGGAGTTGCCCTACTAAAATTATCAGGAGTTGGAGTCAGGTCTAGTGTTTTTTTACAGACTCCGCAGCCCTGGTTTTAGTAGGGTACGCCAGGAGAATGCACACTAAGAAGGAAATTCCACCCCCCAAGGGACGAGGAGGAAGGAGTTAGTTTGTCAGTATAGAGTGTAAATCATAAAGAAGGAAAATAAATAGTGGCACATATAGTATACGTTTTGTCATCCTGAAAGAAACACTCACCTACAAGCTAACTCGTAGTTGTGTGTGTTACATTGAAAGATTGTTAAAATTATTTTAATTGATGATTGTGATCTCAATAACATGGAAAGAACTCAGTATTAAGGAAGATAAAAGAAATGCACATTTTGTTAATACATCCATAAAATTAAGTTTTTATAAATTACATATGAAAATACTTTTTATATTACGCAACTTGTAGTATTACTTAAATTTTGATTTTTGCTTTACAGGTAGCATTTACTACTAAAATATATCATCCTAATATCAACAGTAATGGTAGTATTTGTTTGGATATTTTGAGATCACAATGGTCTCCAGCACTTACAATATCAAAAGGTATGTGTGTTTTTTTTATTACTTTGTGCTCAAGCAAAAAATTTACTTCTGAGAAGTAGACGTAGGAATTTGAAGGAGCATTGCAAATTGGTGTTGATGGAGTTGAATAAAGATGAAAATTTACTGAAAACTATAAGGTGGCAGTTTATGAAAATCTCAAATTGTCTGTGCATATACAGGTTTGTTTACAAACTTTTTTTAATAAGTGACATTTAATGAAAAATTTGTGTCCTCGGATAACTTTGCTTACAAGACATTGGACATGCTTAGAAGAAAGTCCCACTAAATGCTGTATCTTGAGAAGCCAGATTATCTTAGACTCTGTTAGTACAAGTACAAAATTTTTCTCTTACAAGGAAGGATTAAAAAATATGTGGACAAACTAAATAATACCTCAATCCTGTAGTAAATAAATGCCCAAGGTTTAAGATTTTTTGAAATGTGCAGCAAGGCAGTAACAAGTAAAACTACCCGAGCCATCACAAAACTCCTCACTTAACTTCTCGCAAGTAAACTTTTCGTTTGGTCTCCTTCTACAGACATTGTGATGTTTTATTAAATTTATAATAATTAAGTTTAGAATCTGTTTAATAACTTTAAGGTCATGATTGATTTGTTAAAGACGATGTTTTTCTTTTTCACAGTATTGCTCTCAATATGCTCACTGTTGTGTGATCCAAATGCAGACGATCCACTGGTTCCTGAAATAGCTAAAATATACAAGACCGACAGAGAAAAATACAATGAACTGGCACGTGAATGGACCAGGAAGTATGCAATGTGACCCTTTAATAAATACTGTGTAGTGCTGCTTCCATTCACCATCTCTCTTTCTATTTTCTTGTTTATTTCCTGTTCTGGTCAATATGGTTTGGGGGCCAGTCTTTGATGGACGTGCAGCAATCGGACACTCCAATGTTACGACGTCTCTCTAGAATTCGATAAATGCTACAAACTGGTGAATTGGGAATGCTTAGTTGACCAGCATGGAATTTAATCATATATTGTCTAAGACACTTGGTACCAAAAAAAGAAAAAAAATTAGTAAAAAAAAGAGGGACAATCTTCCATATACTTTGGGTGATCAGTGTCCCATTAATAATGTGAGTTTCTGTATAGCATTGTTCACTTAACAGCACATTACAGTGGTCACACAGTACACGTATATACAAACTGGTAGAATTAATATTAATCAATGTTTAAATCTGTCATAAGTTAACAGCAGATAAGGAAAAGTGAAAAACATAATGTCCAGACTTATACCTCAAGTGTCCTTTGTGTACATGTATTTTTTTTCCCCCATTTTCGATGCCTACTGACTTGTGCTGTGTAAATAAATTTTTACATCTGCCATTGAAACTTTTTTCTTATTATTTTGCTTTATTAAACTTTTTTTTGGAAAAAGTTGACGGCTGGCCACGATATCAAACCATTGTAAATGTTCATAAATTTAGAATGCTTTAATTAGAATAAATTTTAAAATTATTCACAATACGTAGGGTATTATTATTGATTTTTATCCAGAGAGATTATCATTTTCTATAAGTTTTTTGGGAATTTCTGCTGTTTCTGCCGGACTATAAAAATTCTTTGACTGACCCTCTAAACTTGTCTGGAACAGCTAATTTCTTTTGGTGAAAGATTGGAGTGCCACTCAGATTCTGCTCGTCTCGGAGATGTGTTCCGGCTGTAAATACGACGACTGTAGTTTAAAAAAAAAAAAGTTTGGTGTTAGCCTTATTTTTATTTTTTTTTGCATGTTGTCATTCCATACGGTTATATTTTCAGTTGTAAATGTCATACGTGTATGAAAAGAAGTATATTTGTACAAAAAAATAGAGTACAGATATCTATATATATATATATAAACGAAAAAAAAAATTGAAAAAGTTGGTGATGGAATTTATTACTAAATAGATGTTTTTATTACAAGAAAATTTAGACTACAGTGGGAATTGTTTTATTCAACATCCAATCAATTTCTACACATTAATTTATTTACAGGATATTGGAAAAGATAATCCCGTTGTTATTTACCAGTTTTTAAAACACTTCACATTTACAATGAGCCGCATAAATAGTTGGTTTTTTTTTGGTCATGAAGCCTCAATATATAACAATGGAATGCATACACTTTTATTTTGGCAGTTTCTATGGAGTAGTGTCTACTGCTGAAGATATGTATTTCACTGCTGTGCTATGTTTTTATTCTCGGTGGCGAAAGTTGTCCCGGCCAGCTGCGTCACCATTAGGAAGAAGTGTTTTCGGAGGCTTGGGCTTTCAGGATACCGTAACAGGCTTGGCACACTCTGACCGGCTTTAGAATGCGTAGGCGGCTGATCTCTGACTCAAATCTGCTGCACCTGTGAGACAAAAGACGCAGATTTAGGAACTAAAAAATCGATGCACACCCCTCCGTCCGGACTATTACCTGGAGCAGAAGAGCTGGCCACAGTTTCTGCAGTGGTGGCGGCGTTCGGCAAACGAAAATCTCACCCCACAGGCCACGCAGCTGTCGCCACCCTCGTCTCTCACCCAGTGATCAGCCATGGCCCTTCCTGGATGATCAGTGACACTCCAGCTGAACACACGTCCTCTCGCATCTCCCACATACACGCACTTGTGGTCTCTGAAATGAAGACCCATTCAAATTAGGAACCAAAATTAAATTACAGTACTAACTTTTCAGAGAAAAACAAAAAGATTAAATAGTCAATTGGCTGAATTGTGTGCATGCAAACAATAAAGAAAATTAAAATCTTCAGCTATTCTGACAACACAGAATAACAATAATAATTAATTTTTACAATTTCTTTTAAATCAACTGTTACATAGTTTAAGTTACTGTAAACTTTGTAAATCCTTATCACCTCTCTTACAATGGCAAATAGTGACAGGGAAGTACTGTTATCTGTTATTTCCTTCATATATAAAATTTGCACTTGTTAAAAAACAAAGTGGTTTGTCATCACGTGCAGTGTTGCCACAGGCGATTAAAGTGCTGCTATTTGCAACTTTCGATCATGATGACTTTTGGGTAAGTGTGAATAGGCAACTGTTACAGCAGTGCTCCAACCTTTTCTCACACAGTCATATGTACATGCAACAGATAAATCCTCCACAAAAATTCAAAAAGATGATTCTGATACGTGACCCCAGTATATTTTACACATTGCAGTTGTATTTCAGAATATGCGCTCATGTAAAATCAAAAGCTTGTTAGAATTACTTCTGTCAGAAACATTAGTGACAATAAAATACACAATGATTAGCTTATTACATGTTTATGATGGGCCCGTGAATATGATAAACTCTGTGCTTGGAGACACTGTATAGAACAACAATTTAGTAATTGGGATACATTTTCATTTACCCTTTAAAAGAAAATAATTTGATTTCCACAGAGGAAACTTTTTTTATTGGTCAATTTTGATGATACTAATTAGTAATCCAATCAAACTCCTGAACATGTTATTCAGATTTCTTTGTAGTGATACACACTATGACCATTATCATTTGTATTTCCTTTGTAAACTATTAAACTTTGTTGTTTCATTTTTACGTGTTTGTTTACAAGCAACCCACAGGAAGTTGTCACTTCTGAAAAACAGATTAGGATTTTGGATATCTAAGATATGATATAGTTAATTGACTTAAAAATACTATGCTTATTGTTCGGTTTTAATAATCTCAACATATACTATAGTGAAGAAATATATGGTCTAAATCACAAATGAGAGTGAAAGAATTGTCGGGTCACTCTGAAAAATTTAAAAACATTGCCACCCTTTTTGCCGCCACCTGTTTTACTCATTAACGCAGGTGCTGGTAGCTTTATCAGTTTGGTGTGTGGAAATCAAAACGTGTTAAACTGTTTACAAGGGGAGGGCCAGACATTCGGTCTCCAATTCGAACATAACTTGGTATACATGTAAAAATGGCTCCTTGTCCAAATAAAAGGACCTACTTTTCAAGCATTTCCAAAAAATGGACCTCTTAATGCTAAACACTAAATTTTCAGTGTTTGGAAGTTTCGTATCCAAGAGTGATGATGGCCAAGTGAAATGACACTATGCACCACAGTTAGCTGATGTAGGTTTGAAATTTTAGTTTAATGTAACATCAAAAAAAAAAAATAATAATAACAGTGTGTTGTTAGTAATAATAATGCTTACAAGCAATATTTTGTTAGTTTCATAAGCTGTAAATGTGAGAAATAATGAAATTAAAAATTGTGATGTTACCAAAAACAAGCCTCTGTACATTTAACTCTGTTATTAAATAAAATTTTCTTTATATTTATTTTTAGTTGTGGTGGTGTGAAATTCAAAATGTAACAAACATGAATGTACGAGGAAACTGTTCATAATATTAACAATTAAAAAAAAAATAAAACACTGACTGCTGCCCTATTTTCATATCACTTGTCTTTTTTGTCCAGATGCAGTAATGTCTAAAGCTTATTCGCTTGTGAAAATAAAACTTTTATTTCTTCACATTTATTTAACAATGTAAAAGAGTTAAAACTTAGAGGCTTGTTTTCTCTAAACAGGAAATAAAGTCACAATTTTTAATCTTGTTTTATAAGGTTAAATGTGAGGGATAATAATAATGCTAATGATGCAGTAAAATAATAAAGTAACACACAAAATTAATTAAACTAAACCAAAACTCAGAAGGTTTGAACCTATGGTATCTAGCTCCAGTGCTTAGCATCTTATTCACTTGGCTATCTAAAACTTATAAGTGTTTGGAAGTTTTAAGCTAAACACTAAATTTTCAGATGCCCAATTTTTGGAAACACTTGAAAAGTAGGTCCTATTTGGACGATGAGCTGTTTGTGTTTAGGGCTACATGCTCACCAAGTTTCATTTGAATCGGAGACTGATCTGCCCCACCCTGCTAGCAATAGGAATAATTTTTAATGAATGTGATCAAACGTGTTATTTAGAATCAATGTTTAAACAGTATTTCACAGGTCCTGCCATGTCAAAATTTTTGTTTTAGTCTACTGAAAAAGATTAAAATGAAAAAGGTCATCCCAAAAAATTCCCCTAAAATTTTTCAGTTGATAAAAAATCTCAATGTGAAAACGACATCACCACCTAATTTTCTTCCCGAACTGACATGTGACATTAAATCATTAGATGTGTGGTGCATGGAAGCTCGACATTTTGCTGTTTTTCCTGAAGTATGATTGATTCAATTTCATACTGAATAGTGAAACAAGTGGATTAGGATTTTATCACCACTTTAATAAAAATATCTCCAAGTGGCAATTTTAGTCCTATGCAGTGCAATCTCTAGTTTGTTGAAACAAATTCTGCCAAACATTCCAGTTACCAAAGTTTATTGGTAAATGCATGCAAAAACTAAGTAAAATCATTAATTACATTTTAATTTTCCAATCGTAAAAAAATACAAAGATGCAGTTTTGGAAATTGTTGGTAATTTAAAATTGGATTTTCTTTTATCCATAACTAATCTGCCCATTAAACAAACATGTATATCATCATCATCAGATATCGTAAAAGATGGAATAATTTATAACCTTGTTTTGTCTTAGTTCCAACATATAAAATAGAAAAGATGTTTTAACAAATATTTCTAAATTATATATCAGTATATTACAGTATAAGAAATGCAGGTGAGAATAATGTCACTAGAAATTAAATTATGTATGATAAGTTCTTTGTACATAGTCTTCTAATGGTTAATGGAGTTGTGTTGAAAGCAATTTTTTCCATACACACAGGTACAAGATATATTGATAGAAATTTGTATGGGCAAGACACAGTGAAATAGCTCAAATACCATAGAAGGAATTAAAATTGACTTATCTATACACGGCTTTCTTTTGCATATCAGCATTGAAAATACATAAATGCTTCATTACCATTTTTGGATCTCTTGTCAACCGGAGAAAAGCATAGAATAATTATTTTTAAAAAATGTGAAAAATTGTCAGATTTCAAGTCACAAATCTTAGTGTTCTTTTTTTGAACATAAGAACAACCAATTTCTTTTGTTGTAGAAAGTTATTGGTTATTTAATCAAGTATTCTAAAAAATTTCATGATTATTATTAGCATGGGTATTTGATTAAAAGTGAATAATAACGCAATTAAAAGATATTTAACCAGCCTTCTTCATACTTGCTTTAAAAATAATATTTAAGAAATTNCTTTTGTTGTAGAAAGTTATTGGTTATTTAATCAAGTATTCTAAAAAATTTCATGATTATTATTAGCATGGGTATTTGATTAAAAGTGAATAATAACCCAATTAAAAGATATTTAACCAGCCTTCTTCATACTTGCTTTAAAAATAATATTTAAGAAATTTTTAAAATGCTTCGAATGTTCACTCATTCTCTCCTATTTTTTGGGGTGAAACCAGCTAGAGAACTCAAATTAGAGCACTTAACTGCTGTAATGCTCGAGCATGTGAAATTAAAAGGGATAAAATCACAATTGATAATTAAGAAATAATAAAATTGAAACAATATAAAAAAAAAAATGATTAAAATTACATTCCAATTTGGGTTCTTGTTTTCACTGACAGCAGGATAGTGTAAGGTTTGTAAAAGATTGATGACTGTTGACAATGCAATGTTTTTGATTGAACCTCTATATCCAATAATTTATTTTATAATGACCAGTAAAACATTTATCAAGTAGTTAGTTAGTTTCAAAATTATAAATACACCCAATTTTTTTTCAATAACAAAAACATTAACAATAGTAATGTATTATATTAAATTGTTGTAAACAACATACTAAACATTTTATGAAATTTTTAGAACTATCTGACAATTATTTTTTGTAATTATCACTTGAAACAATCAAAAATTGAAAATCAAAGTAAAAACACAGGTGCATAAAATTAGTATGATAACTAATTAAAGTAATAATAAATAAATTTTCACCAGAGAGTAGTATCATTGATTATTACAACTGTGGTGCCAATTTTAAACAGTTTTTTTTTTGTGATTTAAAGCAATGCCTCGTGAAAAAACACTGAGTTGGAAATAAATGAAATTTAACAACTAAAAGGAGCAGGACAATCTAAGACAAATTTCAGCAGCAGTAAATCAATCTAAATATGCTGTGAGAAATGTGTTAACTTGGTGAAAATTATGGCAGAAATAAGCAATGTGGATGGGCCAAAAACTCTGTACCTAGAAGTGAAAGAAAGGGTTTTCGGTTACTGACGGTCAACAAGTTGTCTGCCAGAGAATCAGCATCAACTGTATGGAGATGTATACATAATCATAAAAGTGCTAAATTTACAAAAATGGCTGCCAAACTGAAATTAATGCAATTGCACGAAACAGCTAGATTAAAGTGGACCAAAGACAAGATGACATGGAAATATACAGTCTTTTCAGATTAAAAAAAAAAAAAAAGGAATTTGGACAAACCAGCCAATTACTACTGGCATAATTTGAGGAAGAACAAAGAAGTCAGAATGAGCAGACAGCAAGGTGAGGGCTCCGTGGTGGTGTGGGCAGGATTTGTTTGGGGGGTAAAACAGACATTGTATTTATAGAAGGTAGAATGAATTCAAAAAAGTATCAAGAACTGTTGTATCAAAATTTAATAATTTTTTTAATTACTTATTGGGTGAGAAAACTGGCAATTCCAACAGAAATAATGTTGCCATTCATGCATCAAAGTCAACTAAAAATTGGTTTGCTAAAAAAATTAATGTAATTGATTGGCCATCATGGAACCCCAATATGAAACCGATAGAAAGTTTAGGGCATTACAAATCATCTTGTTTATGGCCAAAACAGACAATACAACACTGCAAATGAACTGAAATTAGCTATCATAGATTGTTGGAAAAATATTAAACAACTTCAAACACTAGTAAAATGTATGTCCGATAGAGTATTTGAATTAATTAAATCAAATGGTAGACCTACAAAATATTAAGACATGTCAAATCATTTTTTATGCACCTATGCTTATACTTTTGAAACAATCAAAAATTGAAAATCAGTGATAATTACAAAACAATTATCAGATAATATACTAAACATTTTCTGAAATTTTTAGAACTTTACAACATCAATTTACTATTGTTAATGCATTTATTATATTAATGTTTTTGTTATTGAAAAAAGTTGGGTGTATTTATAATTTTGAAATGGACTGTAATAACAGGTTCATTAAATCATTCAGTCTAAATGATAAAAATTTCTCAAGTTACATATGCCAGTTTACTCACATTATCAAGTTTACATTGCACTGCTTGAAACATCATTTGTCTTTCTTATTACTTATTGAGCAAATATACACCCACAACTGCCGCAAATGATCAGGCTAAATTTGGATATAATGATTATAAATTATAAATGAATTTGGTACTAGGAGGCATTAGGTGCCATCTCATATTAAAATTAATAAGTTGTATGTGTATATTTGCTTAATATTGGGTTTTGTTTGTTGTGTATGTTTCTATATTACTTATTAAAATTGTGATCAAGGAGAAACATGTCCAAAAAAGCATATTTGACTTAATAAATGAAAACAACTGTCACTTTAATTTTGTTTTTATGTAAGTCGTTCGTGATTGTCACAATAAATGATGAAAGAGGCATTCTATTGATAATAGCTGGAAGGGCAGCAAGATGATACCGCTTATAAAAACAATAAAAATGTGGATTTTTGGATCGGGGGAATTCTTACCAAGGAAAAATTGTTAACATCTGACTAATAAGTTATAATGCTCTAAAATGACAAAGCTTAAATTTACTGGCCAAAAAGTCTATTCAATATAAAAATTTTTATACACACTAAAGATGACAAAATTTAAAACATTATTTCTAACTATATTTTGTGCATAAATATAAGTTAGTGGTGTAGATTGCAATATTTTTTTATCAAATTAGAATGAAGCTGAAATTTGTCCACTTTCATTACAAAAAATTGGTGACAGAGTGGATTCCTGACATTGTGTTCAAAAATCACATGAAATGTACAGTATTTGGAACAATAATTAAAAAATGAAAGGGCCAAAGAAGAGAAACTGGCAAATTTGTACTAAATAAGCCTTCAAAACTTAAACAAAGTATACAATTTAGTATGTAAATGATAAAAAGGTAAGGTCGCAATAAGAATTCTTAGAAAATTTGTGTATTACAGATCTTGTTCGTCCCCTTGACAAACAACTTCTGATTTCTCTAGTTTAATTTTGTGATCTGTTGAGTTAAAAACAGTTATTTATAAAAAATATGCACATCGTAGTATATTGAGTTAAAAATGATACAATTTTCATTAATGATCAAAAATTGCAAGTCCCAAAGTAATCATAACAACACAGTTGCTTATTATTTGTAGGAAACAAGATTAATATTTCCTAATGACTTTTTCCCATTCAGCAAATTTCACAGATTCATGCACTGTCTGGAAGGAGGCTCATAACTTCTGTTAAGTGCATCTTTTGAAAAAAATGTTTTTTATTGCTTATGATTCTACATCATTTTCTTAAATTGGAACTACCATTTTTGAAGTTGATCCCTTTCTGCCAACTGTGACAAAACTGAATGACTTTGAGGGGCTAACATTTTTTCATTTGACAATCTTTTCTTTGGGATGCATATTTGAGTTATTCCACTGGATCCATTAAAATGATTCACCCTATATGTTGTAATACTATTCTCCCAGTAATTTGTGATAAAGCAATTCAATGCAGTTCCCAAGCATTTACAAGAAAAATGAGTTTAAAATTTTCTGCATTCCTTATGTACCATTTACTGTGTTTCAATATATGATATAACAACAATACTTTTTTTTAAAAGTTTTTCTAATCTGCACTGAAGCAGATAGCTGTGTGAAGTAGTTTACGAATTTTAACAAAGAAACTTAGTATCTTGTAGTTATTTATTTGTTCTGCACTTTAAACATTTTATGTCGTAATTTCTATTCAGATGCATGCAACAAGTCTACAAGATGACAAATATTTCTCTTGCAAATGTTGAATTATTGGTGTAGCAACATGAGCAAGTTGAAAGAATCATGCATAACACATTTTTTAATAATTTTTATTATAATTATAATTATTCACCAAATATTTTCATGGTGTTGGACACCCTCAACTTGTTCATCTTGCTACACCAATAATTCAAAGAGTAGACAAGAAAGGAACTTTCTATTTACTTGGCAACCATTGCCTAGTAACAAAAATCATGGAACAAGAGGAAAATAATTGTGAAATTTTTTATTATACAGCAAATTAATGTTATAATTACAAAATTTCGATTTTTTCCTGTTAAAAATTTTAAAAAAACTATAGCAATAACAATTCATTTTAGTGCACTTACTTTAGAGAAAAACTTTTAATAAAGATTCGAACTTTCGACACACAGCACAGTAGTCAAATAGCTTATACACTTGGATATGTAGCCCGTTAACATATTATCTGAATAAGATGCAAGAACATAGAAAATGTTAAACTCATTTTTTTTCTTGCAAAAGTATTGAGTGGCTTTACTATTAATTACTGGGAGGAAGTGCTACAATATTTATCAAACTCGGCCAAATCGGAAGGACCATCTCTGGTAGTCTGCTTTTAGGCATAGAACCAGTCTACAGTATGAAGAGTGCGCAAATTTATGCATAATATACATTAAAGAAACTTTAAATTTTATGCATGTTTGGTATCCATTTAATTTAGAGAATTACAAACAAACAAAGATAAAAATTCATTTCTATTAACAAACTGAAATAAGCCGGTCATTTTCATTTCATGTTTTTTTGTTTAAAGTGAAATATATTTTTAACTTTACACAGTTAATATAGATAGTTACATTCTTGCTGGTCACAGAATGAATTCAAACGAGGTTGACCATAAGAATGTACTGACATCTTGTATTACTGAATTGATTGCTTTATTGTAAACATTGATAAAATGAAATTTATCAATGTTTACAATGAAGCAATCAATTCAAGCTTTTTAAAATGGGTTAAATTTATTCCAGGACAGGGTGATTCTGCTCATACTGCACCTTTTTCTAATTCTGACTTCTGAGAACAACAAATGCACAGTATTTGAAACATATCCTCAACATATACGAAAAAGCTTTATAAATATAAACTTAAAATTAAAAAACAAGTTCACCTTGCATAGGCATTTCTAAATTAATAATCTACTATATAAAGCTGAAAAAGTGGGCATTTTCTTTCTTTCTGTCACTGTATGCCAAAAATGGCCACTAGAGGTGTACCTAGCTATTATTTAAATTAACAACATAAATTATTTTATATTTTTACAGTATAATAATCAGTATATTATTATTTTTATTTGTAATTTAGTATGCCCGATGCCTGCATTGGGCCTTTCAACTTGTATTCTATAAAATGAAATACTAGTTTAAAATTTTTTTGATACGTACTTAGAAACTGCCAGTGCTGTTACTGCAGCGGGTTCCGTGTTGTCTTTTCTGTCGAATGCCGTGTGCATTGTCAGTTTGCTACGAAAGACGAGTTGACACTGCCATTCAAATCCTGTAAAAGAAAATAAAAATGTGTAACATTGGGAAAAGAATCTAAAGAATTTTGTGTTAAAAATACACTGAATTTTACTAGAGCAGAAATGAGTATTTCGTAACTTCTGAAATCATATATTTCTGGCTTTGGGGATTTTATTTTGGATTCTGCTTAAGGACTTAAACAGACCTTAATGTCTGCTAATGACTTGATAACTGCTAGTGCAATTTCAAAACAAAGCAGAGAAAAACTGTTCTGCTATACAATTCTTAATTCTAATGTTTCATTTCTACAATATTCATCTTTGAAAATAGCACATAATGAACATTATTAATTGCTACAGGAAACATTTTTCCTCTTTTTGCTCAATAAAATATTCAAGCATTTTCTCAAAAGTGTGCAGTGAAATTCTTAAGACTAAATGTTGTAGTATCCTGTTTCCCCGAAAATAAGACAGTGTCTTATACAGTAGAGTCTCGAAAACTCGGCACTCTGGATGACTCGGCCACACCTTAGATAAAATAACCTTAGATAATTAATTTTTATCATAGACAGCTTTATGCCCCATAAAGTATTTTTCTGAGGTCTGTCTTATCAGGTAAATTACTGTACACTATGTATTCATTAATTTTCATTTTCATGTAGTAAAGGCTCTATGCCTTCATAAAGTATGTACTTTTCCTTTGTTTAAGGGTATTTGGCCAGTTTATTCTCTGTTGTATTCTCAAGCAAACAATACAAGGTGAAGTAAAAAAACTTGCTGTCGATATAGATTACCTAAAAGCTCACATTGCAGAGAATTGACAACTAAGAACACTTTCTATCTCCAAGTCCATCAGCCAGAACATACCAACACGCGAGAGGAAATATATAAACTCTAGAATCATAAAATCTACTGTAAAATTTAAATACATTAAAATTCGAAGATTAAAGCATAATCTACAAAAATATAAAAACCAGAGAAATCAACAGGAAAATGAAGAAACTAAAATTCTATATAATAGTAGTATTGATAATTATAGAATAGATAAAAATATAAAATTAATAGAAAAATTTAAATACCCCTCTATAGAGGAGATATCAGAATGGAAAAAATCCCTTGTGTTAAATAAAACAAAGTATGTGATTCCTAAAGATATTCTCGAGACAATGCAGACAGGATTACACTTTAACGGTCCTAATAGTTGGAGAGTGATAGATATAATACCAAGCCTAGACAAAGTGTGTGGAGGATTGACAGAAGTAGACTCTGAGATAATGAAAATTAAATTAAGTAACATTATAAAAGCACATATTGTGAGACAAAAAGATAGAGTAATCGTCAGGGATAAAAATTATTATAAATACAAAACAGAAATTAAAAAATTGCATAAGTACTTAAATGATGATAATCTTAATATAATTAGAGCAGATAAGTCTAAGCAAATTGTAGTTGTAACCCAAGACTGGATTGTTTTAAAAAAACTACAAATCATAAACGGAAAAAATTTCAGAGAACTACAGATTAATCCAAGAAAAATCATATACGAAGAACTAAAAAAACGAATTACGAAACTACAAAAACTGGGGGATGTTACTAAAAACAAAAAAGCATTTATATTGTCTGAGGTTAACGAGAGAACTCCTCGGTTAAATATCCAACTAAAAACTCATAAACAAAACGAAAAAGTACGACCAATTGTCGATTTCAAATGTACTGTATTGTACAACTTAGAAAAATTTTTGAAAGAAAAACTTAAAAGTTACGATAATTCAATTTATTCTATTAAAAATACAGAAGAATTTTTAAATGATTTGAAGAAGGTCCAGATAGAAAATACGTTTAAATTGGCTAGTCTTGATGTAATATAAATGTACCCATCAATAACATGGCAAATGATTAATAACCAATTGAGAAAAATGAATGTTGAATTTTATATTATAGATCTACTAGAATTCGCTTACAAGAGTAACTATTTTGAAATAGACAATAAATATTACACACAGGAAGACGGCATTAGCATGGGGTCGGTTATAGGCCCGAAATTATCTGAACTGATAATGATTGAAATAGACATAAAAATTAAAGATATTCCTGGTATACATTACTATAGAAGATACGTAGACGATGTTCTAATAGTATATAATGAAGCTGAAGTAAAAACTGAAGAAATAAGTAAATTAATAAATAATATTTATACAGAAATTCAATTTACTATCGAAAAAGAAACAACAACAGATAATAGCATAAGGTACCTTGACGTAGTTATTACTAGGAAAGAAAACAAATTAATGTTCGAACCTTTTAAAAAACAATGTTCGATCAACAAAACATTGAATTATCATTCTAATATTCCTCTGCATATAAAAAAGAACATTTTTTATATGGAATATAAAAATATACTCAATAGAACTAGTGAACAGGGAAAGAAAGGAAAATATATAAATGACTTACACAAAAAATTTAGTTTAAACGGATACCCTACCAAATTAATTAACGACTGGCAACAAAAAATAGATAATAGTATTGCTTTCCCTGTTAAAAAAGATGAAGAAAAGGAAAAAATTAAATAGAGGAGAAGGTGGTATTATGGAACCCCAATTACATTTTAGTGAATTGTAAACAAGGTATCATAACTACACCCACATTTTTTGTGCTAAAAGTACTGGTAACTTGTAAACTAAATGTTCCTAATTGGATTTTTCGCTAGTGTAATTAAAAGTGTGGTTTTTGAAGGCTTTTGTACAAAAAGTCCAAAAGTAGGCTTAGAGAAAATTGGGTGGTAATATGGAACCTTACTGTATATTTTCAAATAAATGCTTTAATGTAGCCAAAAACAAATAGGAAAGGACAAAAAAAGTTAAATAATTACCAAATAATTTACTCCAATGTATTTTATTGCAAAAATGCTTTTATAATAGAAAAATATGACCTCCATCAACAATATATATTCCAGCAGCTCTTTTTCGATATTCTCGGGAAGAATTGACTTTCTACCTAGTGTCTTTTTCACAAATTGCTCTGGAGGACTGTCTGCTTGCAAATAGAAAGTTCGGAGGAGTTGAGTTCTATATTACTGTAAAAGCACCAATGGGGTCCATATTTCACGCATCGCCATCTTGAATTAACTTATGTCTGTCAAGACCAAAATTTAAAAAACGTGAACATCACACAGATTAATA